ACATATCCGAGCACCGTAAGGGCGCTGAAGGCAAGAGAGGGCCGAATTTGTTATTCCCCCTACAGTCCAGCAGTAACAAGGCTGCTGAGTTGTACTATCCCAGCTCCAGAATCATGGTGACTCTCGGGACCGCTGTATAATAATCTCGTCGTTGCTGTAATTCCTTCACGCGTTGCATTTTTTGTAGAGAATCATTACCAAGTACATACCACAGGTTCGATCGGATATTTATACTTAAATGCTTCACTACATTTATATCATTAGTCTTCTAGGTATTGCTTGTTCACAAATCAAATCCCTTACCTTAATGCCCAAACAAGTATGCCATTATAAAATTGATGGATGCTATCTGTGTAATCTAGAATGTGGAGAGGATGTTTACAGAGCTTAGTGTTTACATACTGTATTATTTACATTTCAAAACAAAATTTTGTTTCTCTTCTTGTATTCCTGATAACATACATATCAAGTATCGTGATCTTAATTTTTGAACCTTTTTCAGCTGGAACGTTCTGCGTTTACCGAGCTGCGCTGCAAAAGCTGGAAACTTCAGTTCAGGACCAAAGCACTTTTGTCAGCTTGAGGGCCCTTTCAGAGCAATTCTTTAAGCTCTACCGTATAATGGATAAACCAAAATGACAGCCGTGAGGCCACGGGTGCATTCACGGTGCCTTTCCTGGAGCAACCGAGCGGTTCGACTCTTCTGTAAGACCGCAGCGTGCTGCCAGTCCCTTCTATCAGCAGCGTCTGAAGCGAGCACTTCATGTGACCCTTGGCCAACACGAATAGAGCAATATTAATGTGAGACATAAAATGCACACATTACGTAACGGTTTCTCCTGACAGCCACCCAGGCCAAGTATTTCCTACCGACTGCTGCAGTAACAGACGTTTAACTTGCCACTAAAATAAAACATTCTGTGGGTAGAAGGAAGCGTATGGGTGGGAACAGAGAACGGAGGTTATTCATGTCCCAACATTAATGTACCAGAAAGATCAGCAATATTTTTCTGAGTTTGATTTACGTGGCCGACTGAGTCTGACAGCGTCTATTAAAAAGTGCCCCGAGACCAATTTCATGCCTGCTTTTACTAATACAGCCAAAAGGAAAACTGCAAACGTCATTAAGTGCTTTTTAATTATGCCTTCGCTGCACAGTGAAACACTTCATTTTAAAAGTGTCCTAAAAACGGCAGCGTAATTTTCTTAGAAAGGCACTGCCCTGGCATGCTGACTTGGTCTGAAGGACAGAGCCAGAAAAGTAGAAAATGCAGTTTCAGCATTTAAAGACGTGAGAGAAGCAGACGACCGTCAATGTTGCCACGTCAGGCATTATAGCTGAAACCCCCTATGTGCCATACAGAAACTTAATGCTGTGCGGGATGGAAGCATGTTTCGATGTCCTGAATTTGCCCGATAATGAATCTCAAAGTCATCGGGTTTTCCTTTGGCCTACCTGCAGCAGCACAAGCATTGTGGGGTTGCCAGGGCTCGCAGGATCCCCTTGGGGCAGGAGGGAATCTCGGGGGGTCGTATTGCCTGTCCTGTCCCCTCTCCGAAATCCAGCTGGCTTATTGACCTAAACGGAGGCAGATTTTCACATGAAATTGCACCCTGGGATTGTAATTTCTGCCATAAAGAGGTGGCACTTGGATGTGGCTAAGTCTACAGTGGAATGTGTGGTCCTTGTTTGGTATTAATATAATACTTTATTTTGAAGCATTCTGGACGTTGCTGTTTATCTTTGTTTCCCCTGGAACATATAAACTGACCGACACAAGCCCAAAAATTAAGAGCATTGTTCCTGCTTTGGGAACGGGAGGTAGGGATTCCCAGACCGTGGTTCCCAGGCCCCAAAAACACAGCCCGCATCTGCCATCTGATGTCGAACGAGCTGCCGGACACCTTTTGCAACGCACCGCGCACCCTCGGTTTGCGCTTCATGGAACAGCCCTCTTGCCTGGGAAGAGCACGCTGTGTGATAACCGTTGCCAGCAAAGATGCAATTGTGCTTATTTGAAAACACGCTGAAACGGTACTCTGACTACGCTGTACATTAAATTTCCTCAAATAGGAGGACATGCCATTTTTAACCACGCTCACGCAGGGTGAGGTGGTTCAGGGCAGAGGTCAGGTGAAAGACTTGCCAAGGGTTTGTAAGAAAAACCGGGTTTTTTTGACCTCGGTAGTTTGCAGCTGCACGTCTCTCCACTTCTGAGGTGTGTCCTTTCTTTAGCTGACTGCTGGCCTTAGCCAGCTGAGTTAAAAATTGCTCACAAATCAAACATTCGTGTGGAAATATTAGAAGCCATTTTGATGCATTTCTTTTAAAAAGGGTCAGACTGTTGCGTGAGGAGGGCAGAAATGCCGAAATTAAGATCTCCCTACTCTTTTTATGACCCGTGGCGGTTATCTGTGGGTTGGGTACCTCAACCCCTTCGTCGTGCACCTGAAGAACGGGGACAGGCCGCCTAAGGAAGCCCGGATGGCAGAAATAATGACATTGTAAGGCGTTTTGAGTCCCTGGCGTGACGTGCTAAAGCGAAGCGAACTGCTGCTCCTGTGCCCCGCAGGCTTGCTCCACAGAAGGCAGTTTGGGGTAGACGAGGGACGAACACTGGTAGGCCGCACTGTCGCTCAGGCACTTTTCCTACTTTCCCTGCGACATTTGGCAGGTAACCACAGGGATTTCAGTGCCAGGACTACCTAAAGGCTGTCAGAAGCATTTATGTTATGCCCGCGGCCGAGAAGTATCGCCCAGCGACAGCTGGGACGGTGCGGCCTGGAGCGGTGCAGAGGTTCACCCGAGGAGGCCGTGCCCTGCTCTCGGTTGCCTTTGGGTCACCCAGGGCTGGGGGAAACGCTTCCAGGGAGCCCTGTGCTGCCCCTGGGGCTGAGGCCGCTGCCGCAGGGTGCAGACGGGGGTGTCTGGGGGCAGAGGGGGATATTTGGAGGGACGGGGGGGTGCCCGTTTCCAGGGCGTCTGAGGGGAGAGGTGTGAGGGACCAGCGGCGGGGGGGGTTAAAGGGGGGGGGAAGG